GAGCTGGCAGGTGCTGACCCGCCAGGCACTCACTGCCCCCCTCCTGCAGGCTCTGGCATCCCCGAGATGAAGACCATCCTGCGGGGCGTGGTGCTGAAGGAGTACCTCACCCTCAAGACCTTTGTGGCCAAGGTCATCGGCCTGACCTGTGCCCTGGGCAGCGGGATGCCCCTGGGCAAGGAGGTAGGAGGGGAGCTGGGGCAGGGGGGACCAGCGTGATATGGGAGGCAGGGAGTCCCCGCTTCTGGGTGCCCGCCATAACCTCGCCCACTACACTCTGCCCGCAGGGCCCCTTCGTCCACATTGCCAGCATGTGCGCCGCCCTGCTCAGCAAGTTCCTCTCCCTCTTTGGGGGCATCTATGAGGTGAGACCCAAGGCCAGGCAGGGGGTGAGGGGTGGCCTGGCCTGGTGTGGTGGGGGCGGGAGGGAGCAAGTGCACTGGGTGCCAGGGCAGTGCTGAGCAACTGGCCTCGCCCAGGCCAGGCTGGGGGATGGGGCATGGGGGGAGCCCAGGGCAGGGGGGACTCAGGCCATGACCGGGCATGTGCCAGGGCTGGGCTGCCATTGGCAGGGGTAAGCAGGTGCCTAGTCTCCTGCAGGGAGCAGTCGCAGGGTCCTGCCTACTCACCCCTGCCCCCGGCCGCTCCTGCTTTGCAGAATGAGTCCCGCAACATCGAGATGCTGGCGGCTGCCTGTGCCGTGGGAGTTGGCTGCTGCTTCGCTGCCCCCCTCGGAGGGAGGGCACCGCGCTGGTCCTGGGCCCCGCACATGCACACATGCACGCACATGCACGCACCCAGGAATCAGGCCCCTGCCATGGATCCAGGCCGATGCCAGGCCCCATTGCCCTGGGAAGGTGTCTGCCTCCAGCTCCCTGGCACCCCGCTCCTGAGGGGAGCCCAGACCCCCAGGCCTGTCTGGACACTGCGCAGGCTGGAACTGGGCCTGGCTCTGCTCCCCGAGGCGCTAGGGTCTCACCACAGCCCCCAGGTAGCCTGGAGAGGGGGCAGCTGCTCCCCCCATTCCTTTCTCCCCTGGGTCCACTTGACCTCTGGATCGCCCAGCTCTGACTTGCCTCCCCTCTTGCTCCTATCTCTAACCTCAAGGGCCCCCATGCCCTGTGTGGGCCCGGGCACCCCAGGACTCACTGCATTGCAACCCCCTGGGCAGCACCCAGCCCAACAGGCCCCAGCCAGGAACTAGCCTCCGTGCCCATGGTTGAGTAGCAGCATGGGGCGCTGTCCTCCCAGAGGTGTAATGTCTCCTCCTTTCCCCTCCACTCTGCACTCCAGGGAGGTCCCAGCTCTGGCCCCAAGGCTCCCTCGCGGCTTTGCACTCCTAGGTTGGTGACGTGTCTAACTCTTCGCTTGTGCCCTCTGTGCTGCGCAGTGTCCTCGTCTGTCTGTGTGCGCGTGTCCATCCCACGGGCCCCAGCCAGGGCTGCCCCCTCATGCCCCCATGCTACCCTTTTGCTCACACCATGCACCACGCTGCTCCCACTGGGCCGCGGGCAGCCACAGGAGGGGGACCTTCTTCCCCCACTAACACCCCCCCACTCCGTGGCCCCCCAACACCTGTGTGGGTGCACTCCCAACCCAGCCGGGGTGGTTCCCATGCAGCAGTGTGTCCAGGCAGCCCCCCATGCCGGGGCCCAAGGGGCGCTCTGGCATGGAGGGGCAGTGCCGGCTCCCGCCTTCCTCCTGCCTCTCCCTGCCGCAGGCGTCCTCTTCAGCATCGAGGTCACCTCCACCTTCTTTGCCGTGCGCAACTACTGGCGCGGCTTCTTCGCTGCCACCTTCAGCGCCTTCATCTTCCGCGTCCTGGCCGTGTGGAACAAGGATGAAGGTACCCCGGGGCGTGGGCAGGGCCGGCCCTGGGGCGGGATGGAGGTACCCCAGCTGGGAAGGGCCGCCCGGTGCTTGGCCTGGTGGATCAAGGTGGAGGTGCCTCTCCTGCCATGGGCTTGAGGAGCTATCCAAGAGCAGTGGGGGACCGGACTGATTGCACCCCAAGAGCAGTGGGGTGCTAGGAGGAGGCTGGGCCCCCAAATCCCCATCATGGGGTCCTCTGCTCCCCAGAGACCATCACAGCCCTGTTCAAAACCCGCTTCCGCCTGGACTTCCCCTTCGACCTGCAGGAGCTGCCCGCCTTCGCCGTCATTGGGTGAGTGGGGGTCCCCGACTCGGTGCCCACCCAGGTCAGCCCAGGCACCAGGCAAGAGACCCCAGCAGGAGTGGGGCACGAGGGGCTTTGTGGCGCTAAGGGGATCGTGGTGCCCTGGCCTGAGTGGGGCTGCCCAGCCTGGTTCCTGGCACTGCAGTGCCCTCACGCTACCCCTTCCCGCCCCAGGATCGCCAGCGGGTTCGGCGGCGCCCTCTTCGTCTACTTCAACCGCAAGATCGTGCAGTTCATGCGCAAGCAGAAGACCATCAATCGCTTCCTCATGAAGAAGTGAGTGCCCCTCAGATCCCAGGGCCTTGGCTGATGGCAGGTCAGGGCCAGCTGGTTGCTTGCAGCAGGGGGAGGCCCCGGGGGGTCCGTGGTAGTTGTGATGGGGGCTGCCGGCAGGGTGGGGTGGGCCGTGGTGGTTGCAGGAGTCATGGCTGCGGGTGCTGCTCCCACAGGCGCCTGCTCTTCCCCGCACTGGTCACCCTGCTCGTCTCCACGCTGACCTTCCCACCTGGCTTCGGACAGTTCATGGCTGGCCAGGTACCGCAGGGCAGAGCCCCTTGCCTTGGGGGCACGCCTTGCTGTGCCCCAGCAAGGGTCCTGACCCCCGTGGGCCAGCAGCATCTCATGGGGGGGTTAGTGGGGAGGCAGCCAGGGCTTGTGCCCCGTGCCTTGGGGGCCCCAAGCTGCCGGCCCTGGCTGACGCTCCTGCCCCTCAGCTCACGCAGAAGGACACGCTGGTGACCCTCTTCGACAACCGGACGTGGGTCAAGCAGGGCCTGGCTGACGAGTTTGAGTATGTGGGCATCTCCGAGGCCTGGCGCCATCCCCGCTCTAATGTCTTTGTCACCCTTGTTGTCTTCATCCTCATGAAAGTGAGTCCCCCCGGGCACCGTGCCCCTTCCCCTGTCCCAAGCCAGGCACCGGGTCAGGTGAGAACTGCCCAGCCAGATCCCCCCAGCAGTACCAGTGCCCTCAGTCACCATCCACAGCCCCCCTGGGCTCCCTCACACACACAGCCTTGGCACCCTCCACTTTTAGGCTCCTATGCCGCCCCTGTGCCAGCGTGGGGAGCCTTAGCCAGTGCCCCTACCCTGGCCCTGGCCCTGCCCTGCCATTGAGCTGTGCCCCTGCCTTCCCCACTGGCTTCTGTCCCTGCCAGGGGTGTCAGGGGTCCCAGGGCTCAGCCTGAGTGCCCAGCCCCATGCTGCCCACTGCTCTGCCCAGGACTGCCAGGCTCTCCTGGCTCTCTGGGTGACATGGCCTGAGCATGGCAGGGGAAGGGGGCACCCCACAGGACACAGGGCTCAGCTCACAGCAGGGCACAGGCACCTTGCCCACTGCCTACCCCAACCCAGCCCTGCTCTGGCCATGGCTCCCTTCCCTGGACCATGCCCAGACCAGCAGGCAGGCTGGGGTAAGGGGCTGAGGCTGGGGCTGAGCTGGGCTGGGGTCCCAGCTAGCGCCCGCTGACCCCTGTCTCTGCCCCCAGTTCTGGATGTCGGCCCTGGCCACCACCATCCCGGTGCCCTGCGGAGCCTTTATGCCCGTCTTCGTCATCGGTGAGCTGTGCCTGGCCTTGCCCCCGGCTTCCCCCCCCCACCCCACAGCATTGCTGCCCACCACAGCCCTCGGGAGGGGATTTACCCACAATCCCCTGAGCTCACCAAACAGCTCCTCATTGACTTTCTGGTGTGGTTGGTGCCCTTGGAGTTGGGGGGGATCCCTGGTGCTGTGCCCAGCCTTGTGTGCAGCTCTGGGCAGGCGCCTTTGGACCCCCCCCC